ATCGTAACTATCCGAAATAAAGCTCATGCCAATGGCCTAAGTGGTCACCTTTAATATTAAAAAAAAAAAAATAAAAATCAGAATATATACTATTTTAAATAAAATGTATCACATTGGTGTATCATGCTTAATAAAATGGCCAATATGATAATATTAAGCATGTTTATATTTTTTAGCACATCTATTATTTTTGCTTTATACTATTTTCTTTTAACACAATAGATACAAGATATTAGTTTTATACAGTCTTCTACTGTACTGTAGATCAAATTTTTAATACTACTGCATTATTGACATTATGTTTCTCAGTCTAGTTCTAAATCATAATTGTCTCCTTTTACAACATAATACCCATACGCAGTGTTGGCACTGGACATACATATGTCCAACTATTTTTAATACCGTTGGATTGGACTTGGGCATTGGACATATACCAGGACGTAATCCAGGTCCAATTTGTCCAATCACTTATTCATAAACTAGCAAGTTAATTAAAAATCTGTTGATTCATCATAGATTGCTATATATACTATCTATAATATGTAAAAAAAAAAAAACAACCTATTTTACTACTGTATTTCACTTTTTAAAATATTTCTTGCTTTTCATATTTTAAATAGATCATCCAAGTTCGCAAATATTTACATATGTAACACTTATTTTTTTCGAATCAATAAGACTATTCATTCTATCTAAATTATCATCATATAGCACAACTTGATTTTTTTTTTTTTTATTACAAATGAAAATAAGGCGCCGCTGGTGTCCCTGCTGTACTACTTGTGTCAATTCCTGTTAACAAGGATTGGAACTAGGGAAGGGTTCGGTTACGGTTTAGTCACTTAGCCGGCTGCTATAGCCGTAGTTAGTGATGCCTGACGAAACCATGTGATGCTATTTGTCACATGGTACAATATATAAAAATCGACGATCTATTTTATAAGTAACTGTAGCATATGCATATGATAATTAGCATCACGTGGTTTCGTCAGGCATCGATAATTTGAAAATCTGCTGAAAGTGGCAATTCAAAAGGACAATTTAATGTTGGGTTCTGTTATGATAATGGCATAGATATTGTTAAGGACGAAACAAAAGCATTTTAATGGTATTTAAAATCTGTTGATAGTGGTAACTCAAAAGGTCAAGTTTATAAGATTCTGCTACGAAAACGGAATTGGCACAACCAAAGATGAAAAAAAGGCATTTGGTTGGTATTTGAGATCTGATGAAGGTGTTAATTCTGATGGGCAATTTAATGTTGGATTCTGTTATGAAAATGGCATAGGCACTGTCAAGGACGAAAAAAAGGCATTTGAATGGTTTTTAAAATCTGCTAAAAGTGGTAATTCTGATTGACAATATCAGATTGGATTTTATTATGAAAGAGGCAAAGGAACTACTAAGGATGAAAAAAAAGCATTCGAATGGTATTCAAAATCAGGATTTAAAATATGCAAAGAATGTAATAGCTTAAATACAAATAAAAATTGGTGCCAAAAATGTAATGTGCTTCATTTTGCGTGAAAATAAAACTGTTGATAAATTTATTCAAGAAATTCAGCTGAAAAGCAACAAATTATTATGATGTTTTAGAATGGATTCAATTTGATAAGCTTAAAGATATTTAATATTTAGACAGAGGTGGGTTTGGTAAAGTATATTCAGCAACGTGGGTTGACGGATATATTATAAATTGCGATTATCAAAAAAATCAATGGAATAGAAACGGTGAAGTGATGGTAGCTTTGAAATGCTTAGATAGTTCTCATAAGTTTGAAGAGTTTTTACAAGAGGTATAGATAATTATTATTTGAATACAAGTTTTTAATGCATGTAAGTTACCTTACTTTTTTTTGTAAAAAATAAATTTCTAGGTTAAGTCACACATAAATATAGAATATGGTGTTACGGATTAACTACTAAAAGTTTTATGATAGTTCTGGAATACACAAAATATGGAAATCTTCGTAATTATTTAAAAAATAACCCTAATACATTGTCATGGAATAGAAAAATAGAAATGTTAAAACACATAGCAAAATGTCTTAATGCTATTCATAAGGCTGGACTAGTTCATGGTGATCTTCATATGAATATTTTACATGATGGCATGAAGGAACAAATATTACAGATTTATGATTGAGCTTTTTCATAAATCATACAAGTGAAAAACAAAAAATATATGGAGTTTTACCTTATATTGCACCTGAAGGTTTACGATCAAGAGAATGTACACAAGCTTCAGATATATATAGTTTTGGAATCATCATGAATGAATTGCTTTCTGAAAGACCTCCCTTTGATGAAGTTCCACATGATATGGACTTGGCATAAAATATTTGTAATGGTTCACGCCCAACAATTAAAAATGAAATACCAGATTTTATTTAAGCAGCTTATTAATAAGTGTTAGGACAATATACCGATAAATCGACCAATTGCAGGCGTATTGCTAGAAACATTTAATATTTGGATGATAGAATTAGATTACCAAGATTCGGAATTAAATGTACAAATTAAAAATTCTAAGACTGAAAATAATATTTTTACACAATCTCAAAAGCAATCAAAAGCATCTTATACAAGTAGATTATTCAACATTTCAAATCTACCAAAATTTGATAGTTTACCACAACTACCTACTATTCTGATATCTAATTTAATGAAATTATCATAATCTACTAAAAGTTCATTACTTTATTTTCGATCACAATGTTTAACTAAGATTTGGGTATCTAAATATTTAAAGTTCGAATTCTCTGAATACTGATTTAAAATCAGGATCAGTTGGACCGGGAGCAAGTCTTTTGGAAATTTTGTAAAGTAAAGCTTGAAGGTTTTACTTAATTCTCCTAGACTTTAGCTAATAAATATTTGTGCGTCAAAGTGAAATTTGTGCACATCAAAGTCAATGCTGTGTTTCATTAGGGTAGGATGAAACCCTATATGAGGGTAAAGATAAGTATTAGCGGCTTTATAATTATTTTAATCTGACGTACAATACATATTTCTGTATATAATTATAAATTAGAAGTAAATAAAAGAAAATAGTTAGGAATCATGCACAGCTGTGCTTTACAATTCAGACCAGGAGTGTAATGCTGGATGAAATTAAAAATAAGATTTAGAAGGAAAGGTCAAGGCAGAAATTTGAGTAAATCTCAAAAATCTCTAAAGAAAAAGAAAAATAGATACTTCACATTTAAAACGCCGCCTATGTAATAGAATCAAAAAAAAATCATTATTTGCCCATCTATGTAATAAAGTAATCCTTTGTACAGTCTAGCGTAATTATTTATTGATTTTTTTATCTTATCTAGATATTGAAAAACTCTCTTTTAGTTGCAGTCGCCCTCCTCTACAGTCACCTCCTATATAATTACACATTTTAGGTAGCGTTCCCACAAAAAATTGGTCACCCTGTAATTTTGACCAATCAAATTTTAAGATCATGTGTAACGTGATAGGTAAAACAAGCGTGTTTTGTTTTCTAAGTAAAAGGTTGCGTGTAAAACTAAACCGCGTTATAGTTAGGGTTTGGGTTGAAGCTATTAGTAAAATTTCACGAGGAACATTTTTAATTAGGCTGCAGAAGGTGGTTGCCTAATTAAAATTTAGAGCTATTCTCGTTTTTTTGTAAAAAGTGGCTTCGCCTCGATTTTTACGTTACACCTGATCCTGGACTTCGATTGGCTAATATTACAGGTAATGAACAATTTTTTGTGGGACAGTGTGAAACCGGAAACGTGACCTGACACATGCACGTGCCCCGTGACCTCGGAGATTTCCAAATTTGGGGTTTACCGGCCAGAAATCACAGAAAGGCCGTTTCTGGCAGAAACGGCAGAAATTATAGAAACAGCAGAAATT